AAAAAGAAATTTCAATTTAAGATTATATTTTTAATTTGATTTTAAAATTAAAAGATCACTCACTGCAGCCTCGATCTTCCTACCTCTGCCTCCTAGGTAGCTGAGACTACAGGCATGCATCACCACACCTGGCTAATTTTTGTATTTTTTTATAGAGACGAGGTTTCACCATGTTGCTCAGGCTGGTCTCAAACTCCTGGGCTCAAGCAATCCACTTGCCTCGACCTCCCAAAGTGCCAGGATTACAGGAGAGAGCCATCACACCCAGTCGTGTACTTATTTTTAAAGAACCCAATTTCTCCACTTCGGCAACTTATGAGGCCAGAATTTAAACATCTGGTTGGAAGGGATGGGCACAGTCCCTCCAAATTCACATTTTAATTACTCCTTTGCAGTCAGAGAGATAGGTGTGCCACTTACAAAGGCAATAAAAACCAAGGATTTTTCACTCCAACGAAGTATAGGGCATGGCTCCTTTGCAAATCAAGTTGTTGAAAACTCTGCAGCCTGAGTGTAGAGCTTCCTCCAAATTGTTAGTTCTCTGGCAAGACTTTCAAGACCTCTGTGAGCCTTTCAAACCCTGGGCTAGCATGCCAGGTGGTTTAGGAAGGACTCAAGCCAAACGGAAAGTGTGCCTGGAGAGCTGCAGAATTTAAATCTGAAGGCATAGAAGGTTAAATGACAGTTTCTGTGGGAATTAACTGGGGCAGGAACCTCAAATAGGTAGGAGGGTGAAACACACAAGTGGCAGGGCTGCCATTTCCATTGAATACCCTTATTAATCCAAGTCCATGTCCTCAACCGGACACAGAGAGACTTCAACGTACTTGCCCTTCATGATCTTTTTATGACATTCTGTGTAGCCATAAGCACTCTGTCTGTGGATTTCATCTGGATCAGGCAAGTTCTGATAGGCAGCCCTGATGATTTAATACCATGTGAAATATGAGTTTCCTATTTGTTTTTTTGTTTTGTTTTGTTTTGTTTTTGAGACAGAGTCTTGCTCTGTCACCCAGGCTGGAGTGCAGTGGCCGGATCTCAGCTCACTGCAAGCTCCGCCTCCCAGGTTCACGCCATTCTCCTGCCTCAGCCTCCCGAGTAGCTGGGACTACAGACGCCTGCCACCTCGCCCGGCTAGTTTTTTGTATTTTTTAGTAGAGACGGGGTTTCACCGTGTTAGCCAGGATGGTCTCGATCTCCTGACCTCGTGATCCGCCCGTCTCGGCCTCCCAAAGTGCTGGGATTACAGGCTTGAGTCACCACGCCCGGTCGAGTTTCCTATTTGTAAACAATCACCACTCCGACGCCCCCCCACAAATCCAAAACTTCCTCCATCATTGCAACATAGACAAGACTTTCAAGATTCGTGCGGACCCTGACATTTATCAGGTTATGAATTGCTGAGGCAGTCCTGAAATGATGGGATTGAAAGTGGAGTAATAGGAGTCAAGGAGAATCATTTTAGTGCTTGCTGAACTCCAGTGACTGCGCTCACTGTAAGAGTTCATTGTGTCTCTGTTACCAGTGCTCTGTGGATTCCTGATGTGCAAATAGGACAATGTGCATCCCCTTTTGGCATGTCATTGGGGTAGGGAATAAAGAAGATGCCCAGAGAGAGTCACTACTTCTTTACTGTGGTAGTGAAAGGGCGCCCTCCCCTGTGGCAATAATTTAATTTTCCTTGGGGAGAAATTGGGCCATCTCATTGGGAAAAGGAATTGGTGATTTTAAGAAAACTCCCACCTGTTACTATAAACATAAACACACTAAATCCCCATGTAGTGATTCATACCTCTATGAATGAATAAGTGTTTCAGTCCTTGCTTATGAACTGAAACTGAGTTTCTCCACTGCTTCTGCTTTAGGTATTGACAGCATCTTTCCAGAGAACATCAAGGCTGGTGAGATTCTGGCACTGTCTTGCTTCTAGGTCAGCCATGGAAAGACTCTGACCCTTTCAGTGAGTCTATCTTGCTGCACATGATACTTTCAGATTTATATTTCCCTCTCTCTGGAGCTGAAAACCTGTGATTCTACAATCTGGAATCATTGTTTAAATAATATTCTTTCTTTTTTGGGGTGAGGGACAAGGTCTCATTCTGCTACTCAGGCTGGAGTGCAATGGTATGATCATAGCTCAGGGCAGCCTTGATCTCCTGGGCTCATATGATCCTCCTGCCTCAGCCTCCCAAGTGGTTGGGACTATGGGCATGTGCCACCACGCCTGGCTTTTTAATTTAATTTTATTTTATTTTATTTATTATTTTAAGTAGAGACAAGGTTTCGCTATGTTGCTGGTCTCTAACTACTGAGCTCAAGCAATCCTCTCACCTCAACCTCCCAAAGTGCTGGGATTACAGGTGTGAGTCACTGTGCCTGGCTCAGTATTCTTATTTTTAACTTGACAGGCTCCACATTGGGAGGTTGAACTATCCTTGTCAAAACATTTGTCAATTTTTGTGACATCCAGTTTGTCAATATTAGATAAACCAAGCCATCAATTCTTTAATTCCTTCATTCAATCAAAAAAGAAGTAGACTCTTTCCGCAACAATACAGTTATTTTTGGAAGCATCAGGTGTAGGGCTTGCTTGACAAGTTTCTTTTTGAACAGAGACTGAGGGAAGTCTCTTTTTCAATATTCAACTCACTGCTCGCTGACTGATGAAACTACTGGAGGACTTGGCTTAGCTGTTATATTGAATGAATGTCTAGGACAGGCTTGCAATGTGGATCTCGAGTTTTTCTAAACAAGCCCCTGGCAGCTCAGACTGAGCACATACAACTGGTGTTTTGTGCAACTGTCCCATCTTCTTGTTGGCGAGGTCCACTTTCTATCACAGCAGGATCAACTCATTTTCATTTGAGGCCAAGATGGTTCTGATGAGCCTAGCAATGATTCTCCCCAAACCTCACTAAGTAATTCCATGGCCACCATGATGAAAGATGGGGAGGGGAAGAAGGAGGTTTGAAAGGTGATGAGGTGAGGATGGAAGATGGAACAAGAAACCCTGAGCTATCTCCTCTACTAAAAGAAAACGAGAGTGCCCTTTACCCCACCTCCTCCTCATGGCTTTTAAAGCAAATGATTGTAGGGACCCTCAGCTTCACCTGGCCAGCATCGAATACTCATGCCAGGAAAGGGTATAGGAGGTTGGTCTGTGGCATATATTATTTAGCTTAAAATTCAGATTTATATAATTTTATCTTGCATTTGTCCAAGGACAGGTCTTCATTACAAAGGCTTCACCAGAATTATGCAGATATCAGTCTACTCAGAGCTGGATCTTCAGTCTTGCAAAGCTCAAGACAGGGTTACCTGAGCACGAAACTGGTCTCATTAAAAGTAAAGTGATTCCACCAAGGATATAATCTGCAAGAATCTAGTGAAGCTCTTTCAGCATGGATAGGGGCAGGGGAAGAGAGCTGAGGTAAGAGTGTGGCAGACATGGGGTTTCCTAGTTTTGAATTCCCCATTAATAAGAACAATAATAATAATTATACTACTTTTTATTATAATTATCTTCCACGCATGAAAGGTAACCCTGTATAGATTCACTTGGAGAAGATAAGAAAAAAATAGATTTTTCCAGTCTTCTGCAATCAAATTTAGTTTTTTCTTCCTTTAAAGCAGCAAATTTACACCCAGCAGATGTTTTTTCTACAGGGTGTAATCTTGTCAGGAGAGGCAAATTTTAAGTTAGAGGCATGACTGACTGCTGGATTCTGGCACAGGCAACCCAGGTGGTTGCTGGCCAGAGCGGCCTCTCCCTGGCTTCTCGTTTCTTCTTCCCGTCCCCTCTTCTGGGATAAAATTATGTAGTTGGTTGATATATCAGTGCTAGTTTTCTAAAACACAGTGAATCAGCCAACAGTGAGCCTGAGCTGGGGCAGTGCCGAAGGCCTTCTTTCCACTGAATCAAAGATGCTTACACTCCACATTTATTTATTAATTAATAAATATTTATTGAGCCACTATCAGGAAAGCACAGTGATAAAAAAGCATGAATTCCAGAGACTACTAGGGATAATGCCACCTTTGTCTCTTACGTGCTCTGTGACCTGGGCAAGTTAACTCTTCTAAGCCTCCATTTCCTCTTCAATAAAAGAGGTATCGTAATAGTTCCTACCTTGTTGGGGTTTGTGAGGATCAAATGAGATGAGGTTGTAAAAATGTTTGTAAAAGCCCACAGTAAGAACTCCTGGCTGTTTTTTATTAGGCAAACTGGGTTTGATAGGCTGTGAGCAGAAGACAAGTTAATTTGCTCCTTTATTGCCCCGTCTGATCCCATCAGCCAAGCCCCATAATGTTCCCTGTCACTCTCAGATAATAAAAAGTCCTCTGATGAATTTTGGTGCCAATAAGACTCTCCTTCTAGTAATGCAAATGTCCAGTCTGGTAAAATAATCAAATCTTGTAGCTCTATTTAATTTAGAACTTCTCTCCACCCAGCTTGCTTCAGGCCAGGACGCCCAAGTCGGAGAAGGGAGAGTAGCCGGCTTCCTCACGCCCTCCTGGCTCCATTTCCTACCCACTCATTAGCTGTGATTTCTGACTCCTCCAAGGTCAGGGAGAGAGAGACAAGGAAACAGCCCAGTCCTACAGCAGGTACACCTGGGCTCTGGCACTGAGGCTCCTGTGCTTGGCAGATGTCCCGAGCTGGCTTTCTTGTTGCTGCCAGGCAGGTGGCCCCCGCCTCTGCCCTGCGGTTTGCATTTCTTGGGCCTGTGTCAGATACCAGCACTTCATGCCCCTCACCCTATCTGTGGGGACCATGGTCCAGCTCTCCTAATGTTTCTGTGAGTCCTTTCTTCCTTGGCTGGAGGTGAGGAGGCAGCACGTCCCTGTACTGTCCTGGCCTGCTGAGGTAGGAAATGGCCCTGCTTCCCAACCACAAATGCCGGCAGGATGAGGGCAGGGAGAGATTAGGGCGCGGCACTCAGATTCAATGGGTTTTCACTAAGTGTGCCGTCCGCCACCCACTCTTCCCTTTCTTCTAGTGCCCTGGCTGGTGCTCAGCGAGATCTTTCCTGGTGGGATCAGAGGACGAGCCATGGCTTTAACTTCTAGCATGAACTGGGGCATCAATCTTCTCATCTCGCTGACATTTTTGACTGTAACCGGTAAGAAGTCTTTGTTTTCCTCTAATGTCTTTGGTCCTCATAGGACAAATGTTCGGGAATCACACCCACCTAAAGACCATTTTTTCGTGAAAAATTTCAAACACACTTAGAAGGAGGACGGCCATGACCCTGAAGTACCCATAACCCAATTTACACAGTTTTCAATCTAAATCTATTTTAACCCCACCTGCTCTTCCCGCTACCCAATTATTTTGAGTCACATCCCATATGTAATGTTGTTTTGTCTGTAAAATTTCAGCATAGACCTTTAAAAGACATTCAAATATAGCTACAATGTCATTATCACACTTAAAAATATAAATAATCATCCGTTAGTATCAAATACCCAGTCTGTGTTCACGTTCTAATTGCCCTATAATTGTTTTTTATATGTGATTTGAATCATGACCCAAATACATAACTTACAAGTCCCTGAAATGTGTCATAATTTGTAGGTTTTGTCTCCATCTCCTCTATCTCCTCACCCCCCACTGTACCTCATATTTCTAAAGAAATTAAAAATCTATTAAAAAACAAATGATGTGTTTCATAGCATTTTCCAGTCTGAATTTTGTTGATTATAGTCATGTCACGTGTCCCTTTCC